AGGTCGATGCCACTGCTGGTGGACGTTTCGTCCCCGAGGGTATCACTAGCCCAGTAGTCAGCACTTCGGTGTTTATATGAATATCAATTATATGGTCATTTTTATAAATTTCCTGTTACAAAACTTTGAATTTTTCTAAAAAACTAAGGATTTTCTTATCCCAGGAATAGATTACCTTAGCCGTATTTGGCACAACTTTTTGGAATTTTGGGTCCTCAATGCTCTTCAACGTTGTACTTGTTTGGCTTTATAACTATTTTGATCTGAGTGTCACTGATGAGTCTTATGTAGACGAAACGCGCGTCTGGCGTATTAAATTATAATCCTGGTACCTTTGATAACTATTTCAGCAGAACTTGACTTTTGAATATTTTCGCCCAACTTTTCTACTTGGATCTTTCCCGCGTTCAAATTGTAACTTTAGTATTATTGTGCTCAATGAAACAGTCACTTAAGTTGATGGATGTGTCTCGAAGATCTACACAAGATTTAAAGAAAATATTTGAATTACTGAAAGACTGTTATGTAATATTCATTTTCAAACGATAATGGTTCTTTAGCATTTGACATTCTTTTCTTTTATCAGGGAACTAAGGTTTCAAGGCACTTGTGTACATTGAAAACTTATAATTCCGAGTTTATATTTTCTGCGTATTTCGGACTCGGTTGTCAGATATTTGTGTAATTATGACTATGTCGTGCGACATCTTGCTTTTTCTCCATTTCTTTTTTTTTTCTTGTCAGTATTATTATACCTCTACTTTTAGTTAAAGGCATCCTAGGAGATTACTGGACAAATGATGAGCATGATGAAGCATCACCATAATGAAAAACACCATATATGTAACTGTGTCGTTCGAACTCGGAACTTTTTAAATGGCCGCCATTTTTCAGCGTACCAAAGTAACACGACATTCATTCATATTTTATTTTTACATATCCGTGAATTGCTTTTTAACTAAGCTTAACTCATATTCCCACTTTAATGAAGCAGAGCGTGATGTTTTTATATTTATGATCGCAGAGTTTTCCCTTTAGGGTTATACGTTGCTTCGATGCATTTTCTCATTTTCAATTAAAAATTATATCATTAGTTTTATAGTTGAAACTATAAAATACAAATATCAGTTGTGCTTCTCCGTTTAATTTTCATTGTCAGTTGTATATATTTGCATTTATGACATGAATTATCATTGATATGGTCATAATTGTGCTATTTTTAAATCATTAAAAATATGTAGTTGGCGACTGGAGATTAAGAAATAGACTTTATACTGTTCGAATTATATCGGTTCTTTACATTTATCTAAATGATACAACTTGTCATGAAGTTTAAATTGAAACAACGATTTTTGAATTCCAATTACTTTAGAAATTCAAGCAACGTTTCGTGAACATTTGAATTTGAATAATCCTCTTGATGCGACATATTGGTGTGTATTTCTTTTTGCTTTATTACTTTTAAGCAGGAAGTCTAATTAAGTTCGAGTATCAACCAAGAAATTTGATAAAAACAAACAGCTTTGTAGAGGTGATGTTATAGTCTTTCCATCTCTTATAATAGTTGCATTCAAATTGACAAAACAATTCAGTTTGGTAATCGTATTCTAGGTATACCTTTGCTTGCACATCCTTTATCTAAATTTTGCCCTGTACATGCGTATAAAAGGATGTGTTATTTAAATCCGTGCACTCCAGATGATGCCGCCGTTTCTGATACACAAAAGGGGAAATGTATTCCTATTACTTATAACCAGTTTCAGAATTACTTTATAAAATTGGGCTAAATCCAAAATTATTTTCTTCCCATAGTTTACCATAGTTTCCGAAGAGGTGGAGCAACGTTTGCTTCGAAAGCATGGATTTCTCCTAGTTTTATTCAATTGATGGGCGATTGCACAATATATTGTCAGTTCTTTGTCTGATAAGATTAATGTGGCGGAATAGATTAAAAAGTTTGTTTTAAAATAAATTTGCTCTTTATAGATTTTAGGTCTACTCTGGTATGCGACTCCATAGCCAAGCATGTGAAAACTATTAGAAAGTGTCATTGGCTAGCCTTTCCCGAAGCACATATTTGGGACATAATAAACTTGCTAAATTGTGGAACAATTCAGGTAAATTATTATATAATTCTGATACATGTAGGAACCAATGATGTTGGTACCTATGAGGTTGCTGATTTTGATTTAGCCTATAATGTGCTTATTTCTGCAATTGAGAAATTAATTAACCCACATACCGTAGTTATGTCAGCAATTATTCCACGTTTACTTGATTTTCAGAATACATGTTATTTTTTTTTCACCACCATTAATGCTAGTTTAAGAAGATTATGCTTTTTACGTGGTGATCAGTTTGTAGCTACGTATAAACCCGTATTGAAATTTGGGATTCCAACTTGTGAACTTTATTCACCAACTGCAAGTTGCATTGGAATTATTTTGACAATTCAAAGTTGACAATTTTTTTTATTGCTCATTGTTAAACAGGAGGATGTTCAGTCTCATCTTGTGACTGTTAACAGAAGGAGCAATATAATTCTGTAGAAATCTTGTGTTAAATTGTGCTTGCAGTAGTGGGTGATTTGTATATATCCTTAATGAAGTTATTATTTAGTTTTCTTACCATTCTTGTCAGAAATATCTGACCATTCATGTCAGTATTATTATTTTTTCTTATCTGTTTATAAGATGAAACATGGCTTTGAATTTACTCTGTAACTTAATTAGCATTTAAAATTTGTTTATTATCAATCAATGTGCTGTGTTGACCGTTTGGAAATTAGTTTTTTTTTGGTGCTGAACACTAATTGAATTAACTTTAACGTCTTTTATTTTTTTGTTATATGAAATTGTAATAATTTGCCAAAATTAAATGTTTTATTTTAATTCGCTTTAATCATTTCATAACATTAAGTATTCAGTATTGTTTTGCATCCAGTCGTTTCAAGGTATATATCTGCCGTCTAGTCTTTTGTCTTAGATTCTGATTGATTGACCGTACTTAGTTCGAAAGAGCAAATTGTGCTATTTTTAATTCATTAATAATTATAATTGGCGACTGGAGATTTAAGAAATAGACTTTATAATGTTTGTTTTATTTCGGTTCTTTACATTTATCTAAATGATACAACTTGTTATGAATTTTATACTGGAACAACAATTTTTGATTTGTTCCTTTATCGACTTGTGATTTAAAAGAAAGTTTTTCATTCTGCCGTTGATTGCCGAAAACTAACCCTCCCATTATTTATGCTCAGTAGTTTCAGTTTCATTTTCTGTGGAAGTTTTATTTTTCAGCGTATGTTCCAAGCTGATTTTCTACTGTGGAAAGACGTATTTACAAGGTAATTGTTTACTGATCAGAGAACGATGGATCAACATAGTTTATCACTGATAATTTAGATTCGTATTCACTCGCAATGGATATAGACGTGTGAATTTTAGATTCATTTTTACTTTACTCGCTAGATGTAGAAGTGTTGTTGGCAGATGGTGATGAACATTGCTTGAATTATCTTCAACGTAAATTAGTGATTTTTCATATGAAATTGTACTCATTTGCAAAATTAAATGTTTTATTTTAATTTGCTTTCATAACATTAATTATTCAGTATTGCTTTGCATCCAGTCGTCTCATGGTATGTATCTGCGTCTAGTCTTTTGTTTTATATTCTGATTGATTGACCGTACTTAGTTGAAACAGCAAATAATAAATAAAATGTTTACAAAACTTTGAATGTTTCGAAATACTAAGGATTTGACCCCAGGAATAGATTACCGTAGCTTTATCTGGCAAAACCTTTCGGAATTTTGGGTCCTCAATGCTCTTCAACTTCGTACTTTATTTGGCTTTTTAAATTTTTTGATTCAAGCGTCACTGATGATTGTTTTGTAGACGAAACGCGCGTCTGGCGTTCAATGTTTTATAAATAAAATTAAATGTGGGGTATATGTCAATGAGACAGCAATCCCACGAAAAACAATAAAAAAATAAAGTATACGCGAAAACAAGTTGGTTTACAATATTTGCTATTAATATATGCATCTAGCTTTCATCGATCAGAGTTTAACCTTATCACTGGGCATACTTATTAAACAAATATACATCATTGTTTTATAATTACAAGTTCACCTTCGTTTGGAATTTTAGCCGTTTCATGATTAGTCCATATCAATTTGAATTATGATTTAATGTTAGTGCTATCTTAATAGTGATCATTCTATGTTAAGAAAAGGCGAATGATAAAATGATGTGCTTTACTTTTACAGTCGTAGAGTGCATTGTTTTGAAAACCTGTGCATTAGAAGGAGAAAAAAATGTTTATAATCTATTACCTGTCCAATAAAATGTTTAATAATTCCACCAACAATCTGATTTCTTAAACTTATACTTTGGCTATACAAAAATAATTGATATCTTCAAAATAATGTGAGACAATCAAAACTTTATATATGTGAGGCAATTGCAACTCGTATGTAAAAACAAGCGAAACAATCAAGATTTTATTCTTTGAAATGCACCATATTGTTTTAAGATGACACAGTGTCGTTTGCGGTATATCTTTTGGATGCATTGAGTAGATATGACCAAATTTGTTGATTGGAGGATGGATATACTATATTGTCAACATAGTACTTCCAGGCTTGCAAATCAAACCATCATTCATTAAAGAACCTTAGTGAGCGCGCTCACATACCCCACGTCCCCACATTGTCATTGGAGAAATAAAATAAGTGTTAGAAAAAAAAATTGTATCAGAAAATTAATTGAATCATAATTTCCTGTCAATATGCACATCTACATAGTATGTCCTTATTATCTACACAGTTTCTTGAAATTCTGTTGTGTGGGTTGAGAGGAGTTGCGATGACAAAAGGTTGCAGTAGTATATTGGGCAAATAAGTTCAAAGGAGCGTAACTCCTGGAAAAAAAAATTGAATCGTAATTTCCTGTCGATATGCACATCTACGTAGTATGTCCATATTATCTAAAAGGTTTCATGAAATTCTGTTGTGTGGTTTGAGAGGAGTTGCGATGACAAAAGGTTGCAGTAGTGTATTGGGCAAATAAGTTCAAATGGGCGTAACTCCTGGAAAAAAATTGAATCGTAATTTCCTGTCGATATGCACATCTACGTAGTATGTCCTTATTATCTGAAAAGGTTTCATGAAATTCTGTTGTGTGGTTTCAGAGGAATTGCGATGACAAAAGGTTGCAGTAGTATATTGGGCAAATAAGTTCAAAGGGGCGTAACTCCTGGAAAAAAAATTGAATCGTAATTTCCTGTCTATATGCACATCTACGTAGTATGTCCTTATTATCTGAAAAGGTTTCATGAAATTCTGTTGTGTGGTTTGAGGGGAGTTGCGATGACAAACTGTTGCAGTAGTACATTGAAGTAAATAAGTTCAAAGGGGCGTAACTCCTGGAAAAAAAATTGAATCGTAATTTCCTGTCGATATGCACATCTACGTAGTATGTCCTTATTATCTGAAAAGGTTTCATGAAATTCTGTTGTGTGGTTTGAGGGGAGTTGCGATGACAAACTGTTGCAGTAGTACATTAAAGTAAATAAGTTCAAAGGGGCGTAACTCCTGGAAAAAGAATTGAATCGTAATTTCCTGTCGATATGCACAACTACATAGTATGTCCTTATTATCTAGAAAGGTTTCGTGAAATTCTGTTGTGTGGTTTGAGAGGAGTTGCGACGACAAGAAACAGGACTGACGGACTGACGGACGGACAGACGAACAGACGGACGGACGGACAGACGGACGGACGGACGGGTCAAAAACATTATACCCTCCGAAACTCGTTGCATGGGGTATAAGTTTGATAAAGGAGTGACTAATGACACGTGTTTCATAATTTAACAAAGTATTACATTTTTTAATACAAACAACTTGGCTCTGTTAAGCAATGCCCAATCTGGACTACACCGTGCAAACTTCAGCCAAACGGAAAAGCGAATTTTGTTTATACAATTTTAAAGCATTTTGTATTTTGCTTTATTCTTAATTTTATTTGTATTTTATTTTTGGGGGCATTGATTGTTTATTTGTTTTCTTTGACTATTTTATTATGTTCAAATTAAGCTACTTATTTAATCTTGATTGTGTTTGTTTATTGTGTAGCATATTTTGATTCAAATATAGATATGACACCGAGTGCTATTTTTTAGTATGAAAAGATGCCGTTGACAGAGATTTGAAAAATACAATAAAACTGTCAAAAATGGAAATTTCATCAAAGAGTGAATTGAAACAAAATTCCATCGAAAGTTGATTAAACAAATTTTCTTTAAAGTGTTAATATAAACAAAGTTCTACTTTTAACTTTTTGAAGAAAAACAAAATACCCTACCTTTTAGCAGCATATCAAATGTTATTGGCTAAATGCCTCAACAGTGCATATTAGTTAGTTGGCAGTATGTAACTTTTTCATTTGTATCATATATTGACGAAACGAAAAAGTGAATGCAACGAATTATCATTCATCCTTTTAAAGAATGTTCATGCTTCTTAATTAATTCGTGTGATATATCAAGGCAGACAAAAAATAAGAAGAGCAATCAAATGTTTCTCCCAGGAATTGTTAAGGTAGTTTTTCTTATCCTGTTCGATCTAAAATTGCAATACGTATTCTAAAATAATAAATAACTAATAATGCATGAATTTCAATTACTTTTGTCCCTTGTGTTATACAATGTAACCGTCTCAGTGGTCTCGATTTCGAGGCCAAGACTTCGAAGCGAAAGTTCGTCGATCGGTATAACAACATTAACGGTAGCAATTAAAATGCAACATAAAGGGTTTATGTGGTTAACAGTAGACAGTGCCTAAAGGGTTTATGTGATCAACAGTAGACAGTGTCTAAATGGTTTATTTGGTCAACAGTAGACAGTGTCTGAGGGGTTTATGTGGTTTATGTGGTCAACTGTAAACATTGTCTAAAGTGTTTATGTGATCAACAGTAGACCGTGTCTAAATGGTTTATGTGGTCAACAGTAGACAGTGTCTGAGGGGTTTATGTGGTTTATGTGGTCAACAGTAAACATTGTCTAAATGGTTTATGTGGTCAACAGTAGACCGTGTCTAAATGGTGTATGTGGTCAACAGCAGACCGTGTCTAAATGGTTTATGTGGTCAACAGTAGACAGTGTCTAAAGGGTTTATGTGGTGAACAGTTGACAGTCAGTGTCTAGAGGGTTTATGTGATTCACAGTAGACAGTGCCTATAGGGTTTATGTGATCAACAATAGACAGTGTCTAAATGGTTTATGTGGTCAACAGTAGACAGTGTCTGAGGGGTTTGTGTGGTTTATGTGGTCAACAGTAGACAGTGTCTAAATGGTTTATGTGGTCAACAGTAGACTTTGTCTAAAGAGTTGATTTAGTCAACAGTAGACAGTGTGTAAAGGATTTATACAATATGTCAACTCTGAACTGTCTCGTGTCTATAACTAAAAAGAAGGGAAATATTTAACAAAGGTAATTGAAGACCCATAATCAACAACAAATGAGAAGAAATGATGAGCACTATAATCTGGTCCTTTTGATCGGAAGAATAGGAAACAATCCTCAGTCCGTTCAAAACATTGTTATAATTCATCAATAAATTAAATGATTTATTCTAGACATTTTGTTAAGGAAGAGGCTTTTTAAATCTAAACATGGTGTGACAAAGTTGTCGATGTTGACCAATATGACAAAATGTGTGAGCCTTAAAAGCATACTGCACATCAGTTGAAGCACCATTAGTACCACTGGGTCAACACCTTTTCTGGTCGATTGTTAATCATCGAGGGTATCACACGCCCAGTAGCTCACGTTTTGTGACCTGGCATGGAAATAGGGTTAAGGTTCCTTTATTTGCACAATCTAACTTCAAGGTTTTAATAATCTTGTTCAAAGATAGATAATTATTCATTTTTGAGGCAAATTCTTTTAGTATTTCAATTCTATAAGATGTATTGATTTTTACATTTTCTTTTTTCTTAATATTTGTCTCCAGTGATTACTAATTTAAAAATTAGCTGAAGAGGCAATTTTCAAAGAATCTAGTAGTGATTTTTTTCTAATTATTTGGACTTCATTATTTCAAGACAGATGCATAGAAAATGTACTTCATCTACAACAAAATAGAGAGTACTTATGGAATTTGCAAAATATGCATTGCATGTAGTCAAATGCACATATAGTTTACAGTTATAAAGCAATATAATAGGGAATAAATACATATGCATGTACATTGTGCTGCGAATTGATCAGTTTATGTCGTAACTACAATACCCTTCCCTTTTCACGAATGTGACATACCGAATTAGACTATTTACCGGATTTGTAATAACATAAGCAACACGACGGGTGCCACATGTGGAGCAGGATCTGCTTACCCTTCCGGAGCACCTGAGATCACCCCCAGTTTTTGGTGGGGTTCGTGTTGCTTAGTCTTTAGTTTTCTATGTTGTGTCATCTGTACTATTATTTGTCTGTTTGTCTTTTTATTTTTGGCCATGGCGTTGTCAGTTTGTTTTCGATCTATGAGTTTGACTGTCCCTCTGGTATCTTTCGTCCCTCTTTTAAAGTTCTTTAATTTTGTAATTAATGCAATAAAATTATTATCATATAGCATAGCTTAAGAGACATTTATTGTCGGAATGTGTAACTGGTGCAGTAAAATTGGTACCGTTAATTTTATTTCAAAGGATATTGTAGTGTGTATTTTCTAATTAAATTCGGACTACATATTTCCAAGGCAGATGGAACGAAAATACACTTCTTCTACAACAAAACAATCGAATCACTATTTATTGTAACCATAAGTTTTGATTAATTATAGATGATTATGTCATTATTTCAACACGAAACATGAGGCTCATATATAAGAGCCTGGATCGCTCACCTAGCAGAATTTAACATATTCATATTTGATGATAAAATCGTCCAAGCCCAACCCCTCAAAATCAACTGGCCCTTCCCTAAATAATTTTAACTTCTTAATTTGATTTTTTACTGTCAACAGTTAATGTCTATACATTAATGTTTTCAAGAATATATCAATAAATCTTTTCTTCGTTATTAAAGGGCAATAATTCTAGCATGTAATAGATAAACACTTTTTCTTATGAGTCTTATGTAGACGAAACGCGCGTCTGGCGTATTAAATTATAATCCTGGTACCTTTGATAACTATTTACACCACAGGGTCAATGCCACTGCTGGTGGACGTTTCGTCCCCGAGGGTATCACTAGCCCAGTAGTCAGCACTTCGGTGTTTATATGAATATCAATTATATGGTCATTTTTATAAATTTCCTGTTACAAAACTTTGAATTTTTCTAAAAAAACTAAGGATTTTCTTATCCCAGGAATAGATTACCTTAGCCGTATTTGGCACAACTTTTTGGAATTTTGGGTCCTCAATGCTCTTCAACTTTGTACTTGTTTGGCTTTATAACTATTTTGATCTGAGCGTCACTGATGAGTCTTATGTAGACGAAACGCGCGTCTGGCGTATTAAATTATAATCCTGGTACCTTTGATAACTATTTCAGCAGAACTTGACTTTTGAATGTTTTCGCCCAACTTTTCTACTTGGATCTTTCCCGCGTTCAAATTGTAACTTTAGTATTATTGTGCTCAATGAAACAGTCACTTAAGTTGATGGATGTGTCTCGAAGATCTACACAAGATTTAAAGAAAATATTTGAATTACTGAAAGACTGTTATGTAATATTCATTTTCAAACGATAATGGTTCTTTAGCATTTGACATTCTTTTCTTTTTGAATTGTCAACCACGTGATAATTGTCCCCATAGGTAAGCTATATCAGGGAACTAAGGTTTCAAGGCACTTGTGTACATTGAAAACTTATAATTCCGAGTTTATATTTTCTGCGTATTTCGGACTCGGTTGTCAGATATTTGTGTAATTATGACTATGTCGTGCGACATCTTGCTTTTTCTCCATTTCTTTTTTTTTTCTTGTCAGTATTATTAAACCTCTACTTTTTGTTAGAGGCATCCTGGGAGATTACTTGACAAATGATGAGCATGATGAAGCATCACCATAATGAAAAACACCATATATGTAACTGTGTCGTTAAAACTCGGAACTTTTTAAATGGCCGCCATTTTTCAGCGTACCAAGGTAACACGACATTCATTCATATTTTATTTTAACATATCCGTGGATTGCTTTTTAACTGAGCTTAACTCATATTCCCACTTTAATGAAGCAGAGCGTGATGTTTTTATATTTATGATCGCAGAGTTTTCCCTTTAGGGTTAAACGTTGCTTCGATGCATTTTCTCATTTTTAATTAAAAATTATATCAGATTCATTAGTTTTATAGTTGAAATTATAAAATACAAATATCAGTTGTGCTTCTCCGTTTAATTTTCATTGTCAGTTGTATATATTTGCATTTATGACATGAATTATCATTGATATGGTCATAATTGTGCTATTTTTAAATCATTAAAAATATGTAGTT